TATTAAAAAGTCACTTTTACCCCTTACTTTTTCATACCCTACCTATCACATCATACCTTTTTACTAATAATCTATCCATCAAATCATGCTTTTACTCATCACATCAAAGAACATTTTTGGAAATTTAATACCAAAATACACTCCCCTTAAATTCCTCATCAAAATCAAAACTCCCATATTTTCTGGGACGGAGGAAGTACATTCATTATTTATTCATGTCAAAAACCTTCATGTAATGTCCTCCTAACTGACACATTATACCCATCTAGGTGGCTTCACAATGTCGTGCAATTCTTTTCTATGTTGCATTTTCTTAGTTTATTGACTAAATACTTTTTAGTCTTAACAAGTTGTCTTAACATAGTATATTTGAGTGTAATATAGAGTACGATAGGATACTCAAAATCACCCAACATTCGGTTTAAAAATAATAAGTTCATAATAAAAAACTGAACATGTTCTTTGAGTCCATCATGCATGTCTTCCCCACTAACACAAAACATTTAAAATTTCTTCATAGAATGCTACACAATTAATTCCAGGAAATAAAAAAAATAAAAGTTTTTAAAATGCCATCATCATTTTTCATTTTCGCTGAAGCATCGTACGACATAAGCCTTAAGCACCGTGATCTTCATTTGGTATGTATTAAATTTATCGGCCTCAATCTCTTGCACATGCCTGGAGTTGTACGTACCGTATCCAGGTCTATATGGTACTAATGCTATGTAACACAAAAGAAAATATACTAAAATATTCCCAAGTTCTGCTCTCACCGTTTCTATTTCCCTTCTATTATGTTACCAAATGCGGGAAAATAGAATAAAGAAATTAAACTCTTGGAAAACACTTTTCAACCAAACAAACACACCCTAAAGATTAGATCCAATTGATACTCAAAGTTTCTTTAAATTGTGTTTAAAAAGTGTGTGTGTGTATATATATATATACGCATCAACTTTCAAGATCTATTAAAAATTTTATCAATGCAAATATCTATACTTCAACTTTCAAAATCTAATATTTAAAAACTTATAGTTTTGGTTTTAATGTAACATCTCCACCTAATTCAAAGCACTTCTTAACAAATGGGAGTTGTAACTGGTGCACAAAATCTTGAACAATAACGTGCGCTTAAAGCATCTCTTGGAGACACATTGTTTTTTGCCTTAATTGTAGTTTCGGATGTCACTCAAGTATATAAATACTCTAAGAGCGCGTCAACAAAGGAAAATACATGCAAGCTCAATAAAGGATCGACGACATAAGATTTAATTTAGAATGCATAATCTCAACAAGAATAATCTATATTATTTCTTATTAGGGTTGCTCCTATTAAATGGAAAAACAAATGGAGATGTTACAAAAGAAGATCCTGGAGTTCTCGATAAAGTACAGAAATTACCTGAATGTTCAAAGAAACAACCGCCCTCTGATGAATGTAGGAAAATTATTCTCAAACTTGTGCAACAAGATGGACAAACACTTACAGGTGCAGTGCCCTCTCCTTTATGTTGCTCGGAGCTTCGTGCATGGGGCTTGGTGTGCTACACAAACTGGGTAGCGATTGACAATGCTATAGATTACGCTCTTTTTGGACCTTCAGACGAAGTTTATTTGAACTTTCAATTCATTTGGAATTCATGCAATCAGTCATAGTCTTTAGATATGCGTGTATATATAATACATACACATACATACAATCAATTTGAATACTATAGTATCTTTCCTAAAAAGTTTGGAATAATACTTTAGTTTCACTTTTATGCTCCTGATTAATAAGAATGGTATTACTCCTCAACTCTAGTAAAATGTTCTACATTTGATTTAATACGGAGACAAAAATATCAAAATTGAGTGGTTAAAAGTGATACAGAAAAAAGAAAAAGAATACATTGTCACAATACAAACTCATGTTTTGAGGTTAAAAACATAAAATTTTTATTTTAGTACTTTTCTCCGTGTTTTACTTTGATCTTGGAGTGAGTTTTTTTATACCCCTTACCATTTTGTTTTACTTCACGTCTTCACACGGGGCACGACTCTGTTGGCACTGCCCAACGATGCTACTAGCGGTGCCACTGCATTTTTGAAGTACATCCGGTGCTCTAATCAAAAAATTGATGGTTCTTACCCCCGTAACTGACCCCCTAAACCCCCTATCCCCCAGTCCAGCCCCGCCACTCCGCCACGTCCTAGGCCTCCTCCAAATATGTGGCTAGGTTGGGGTTTAGGGGGTGAATTGGGTGGTAGGAACCATCAATTATCCAATTGGAGCATCAGAGATGCTCCAAAAAACATAGTGGCACCACTAGTCACACCGTTTGCCAAGTGTCAACGGAAACCCACTCCTTCACGTATTGCCATCAAACGCTCGATCATATCCCTCTTTATATAAATGCATCATTATTGGTATCTCTACCCATTCATTTTTAAGTCTTAATTAACGGACTCGATCGAAGAAGCAGGCTAGCTAGCGGCAATAATGGATTCCTACAAATTTGAGATGTTTGTGTTGATCGCCTTTCTTTTTCTCTCTAAATGTAAGTTTTTTTTTTAAATCTACAATATACAAAGTTTGATTAATTAGTCATAATTTTATCTTACCTACTCCATTGCTGGCCTGGCTAGATAGCTTTAGTTTTAATTCTTCCAATTTCTCATCTTTATCTTATTCTTCTACTCCATAATTTTTGCCTATAATAATATATATATATTCGTCAACTTTTACATTGTATTTAATTATATATCCATGTAGTTAACATAGTTTATGGTGGATTAATTAATAAAATTGACTTCTCAACATCTTTCTTTTGTTTCTTTCAAAATTGCATGCAACTAGCTGTTAGTGATCTTTGCATTGCATGTACCCCTTCGCTCTTGAAATTAATCAATTTTACATTTTATTTTTAAATAGTTGAATATCAATTTTACATTTATTTATCTTTCTTTAGAGAGATACACCGTAATACCTACGTGTGCATGTGTGTTGCAGAAGTTGTTATAGCCTACAATTTGTCATCTATGAGTGTGAACTGAGCTATAATATCTTCTAGTAGTTTCTGCATGGTTTTGGTGTCTTATTGGTGAGTGTCTAGGAGATTTCATTTGGTATCAGAGTGGTTGAGCTTAAATTCTTAACTTATCTGATCTTAACCATGGGGGACATGGAAGAAGGGGCAAATGTCCAGCGGCCACCACTTTCGCACTGTCACAACTATGATTTTTGGAAAAGATGTATGAGAGCCTCTTTAAAGTCACAAGGAGGTGGAGTCTAGCGGACTCAGAAGATTTGACTACTTTGACAATTAAGCCATTTCAAGAGTACAACAGAGCTGAATGAACTGTCGCTGAGTTCAATGATAAAGCCTTAAATGCTATTTTGGTGCAGTTGACTCAACTCAGTACAAACTCATCTCAAACAGCAGAAATGCCAAGGAAGCATGGGACATTCTTGAAGTAACTCATGAAGGAGATGAGGAAGTCAAGACTGCAAAATTTCAAATCCTTATGACTCAATATGAGAATCTGCGCATAGATGAAAATGAGAGTATCACCGAGTTTCACGGAAGAGTAAGAGACATAGCGAATCAGGTTGCAAGACTAAGCGAGCCAATTGCAGAAAATAAGCGTATTCTTAAGGTACTCAGATCTCTGTCTGAGAAATATGACATGAACGTCAAGGCGATCCGAACGGTCTCACAACATTAAGACTATGACCCTTGATCCTCTAATGGGGATTTTAGAGTCAATAGAGCTGGACTTGAAGGAAAATAACAAACAACGAAAACCAGAGAAACAGATTGCGGCGTTCTCTAGGACTGAGGTGGAAGATGACAGTGAAAATGATCCATCTTTGGATCAAGAATTTCAAGAACAATTGTCACTCTTTATAAGGAAATTTAAGAAACAATGGGCCCGGAAGCGAGGTAACATTCATAGACATGAGGGATCAACAAAAGGTTCCACTTCTTAAAGAGTCAAAACCGAGAGAGTGTAAGCCTCTAACACTGAATAACAACATAAAGAAGAAGGGACTGCAATGCTTTGAGTATGGTGGCTTCGGACACACTCAGACAGAAAGTGCTAACAACTAGAAAAAGAAGAGACGGGCCTTCTCAGCCACATGGAGTGATGAGGAAGCCGAAAATTACCAGGAAGATGGTGAAATAAGTTCTTCTTTCACTTCTCAAGTCATACCGGAGGATGAGAATAGCCTTGCAGAACAACTCGCTAACATGCAGGAGAAATGGTATGAGGTCCTGATGATGGTATATAGAAGATATATTACACAAACGAACAGGTTGATCTCTGATATAAATTCACTCAAGCAGAAACTTACAGAAGCAAACATCAGGCTTTAGAAAACGGAAGGAGAAAAACCAGATTTGTGATTTGAAGTTAATCAACTCAAAAACTTCTAAAAACGGATGAAGATTACTGGAGTAGAAGTTCTTGCTAAATAGAAAGAGAAAATTTTGAAAATTCATGAAGACAAAATGGTCTGGAATATACTGAATGCACTGTTCTTAATAATCAAAAACATAAAATGGTGAATTTGTCAAGGCTACCGAAGAAGCTCAATCATCTTGTAATATACGTAATGAACAACAACTCACAGCTCATCAGGACAAGAGAAAAAAAGGAGCCACAACGTCCTTATCATAAAAGATATCATCACTCTGACTCCTACCATAACTATATGTGTTACTCTTGAAACAAATTGGGGCATATCAAGAGGCAGTGTAACAAGTGGAGAAACCGGAGAAGAAGACCAACTTCATCCCCTACTAGAAAGATGAAGAAGATGTGGAACCCAAAGAAATATGCAATGGTTGTAAATACATGCTTTAGAGTCACTCCGGATTAATGGCTATTGGATAGTGGTTGCTCGCATCATATGATTGGGGACAAACTGAATCTAGCAAAAATCAAACTCAGCAAACAAGGAAATGTCATACTCGGTGGAGGTGCTCATGGTAAATTTGTGGGAAGTGGCACATTCAATGTCTCTGGTCTGCTACCGATAAAGAATGTGTGGCTGGTCCAAGGTCTTGAAATGAATCTGCAAAGCATCAATCAATTATATGTGATGAAGGATGGGAAGTTTCCCTCACACATCAAAAATGCAAAGTTAGAGATAGAAGCAAACAGGTGTGGAACAAGAATTCATTTCTAGTAGCAATATTTTGACCGACTTCTAGAGTTCCCTTAACGCTAAATCACTAGAGACACTTTCTTGCAATTGAGATTGACTTTTGGCAAGGTATCGAGAACAAGAGGGAAGATATAACATTGATACACAAAACTACATAGATGCAACCATAGAGGAAAGTGGCCTGGTAGTTCCAACGAATAACTTACTAAGTACTCCCTCCGTCCCACTCTCTTTGTCCACTTTGGTTTTGGCACAAATACCAAGGAGTGGGACAAGAGAGAGCAACTTGTCTAAAATGCCCTTCTAGGCAATGTTAAGAAGAAAGGAGGCTACCGTAGAAGAAGGCAAGTGGAGGCATAAAAGCAAATGTCACGTCTACTTTTACTGTTGAATGACTTAAATTTGTACTCTTTACCAATTTTTAAACCATGCATTTTTCTTTACAACTCAATTAAACTATTGGCCAACTGTTAATCAATAACACAAATCAAGTGAAAATATTTTTTTTGAAGGGATCTTCCTTAGATCTGATGCATCTCGATCCAAAAATAGAAAAACAAAATGCAAATACGTCACAAAATGATGAGAAAAATCCTGATCCACTCTCTTCAGACAACGAATTACTTAAATCTGTCACTATTGCATCATGGTTGCTCGAAGATCCATTGTTTTTGTATTTGTGGTTGCCCGGCGGGAAAAGCTTAGATCTACGGTTGCTACATCTGTTCTTGCCAAACAATAGATCTGCAACCTAGAAAAGTGTGTAGATCTATCACCATCTTCATCAAATCCAAAGTTTGGATTCATCCGTAACTCAAAGACTAAGGACAGGTTCATGGCGGTAGAAAAATACGGATGTTGAAGGATTCTTGAAGGAATTGAATTATTGGAAGGAGAAGGAAGAAAATGGGATGAAGAGATTGTGGCGTGGAGCAATTATGGAAAGGGCCCAGTGAGAAAGAGAAAAGGGATATGTCATTGAGGGCAAAAGGGTCACAATATCACTTTTAATTTTCCTTAAAAGGAAAGTGGACGAATACACTGGGACATCCCAAAAAGGAAAAGTGGACGAAAACACTGGGACGGAGGAAGTATTTTTCTTAAATTGTTATTAATTAGTTTTTTAGATGAGTGATTTATAAGCTTTTTCAAGGGTTTCTTTACGATTCTTTACTTCGTCACTTTTTTGACCCATCAAGGCAATAAATATGGTTGTACTATCCAACTTTCATTATTTAAATAACAACTACATTAGATAAAATATACTAAAATATTCCAAGTTCCGTTCTCAGTGTTGCAATTTTCCTTCTACTATGTCACCAAATGCAGAAAAATAGAATAAAAAGAATTTTTTAAAATATTTTTCTACCAAAGAAACACGCCCTAAAAATTAGATTTAATTGATACTCAAAATTTCTTTTTAATTATTTCTAAAAATTTTGTAAAATATATGCATATCGACGTTCAAGATATATTAAAAATTTTATGAATTGAATGTAGATTAAATGTTTGTCCATATTCATTCAAAACCTAATATCTAAAATATTATAATATACAATTCTTTAGGAATGGGAGGAGTAACTCTTAACAAAAAAAAATCCTGGGAGGGTGTACTCTATTTAATCTAACAGCTCAAATTAAGTTTTAGCCTTTCACAACAAATGGGAGTTATAACCGGTGCATAAAATTTGAACAATAACGTACGCTTAATGTAGCTGGACACATTGCTTTCTTGCATTATTAATTGTAGTTTCTGATGTCACTCAAGTTATATAAATACACCGAGCTTGAACAAAGGAAAATACGCATTCAATAAAGGATCGACGACGTAAGATTTAAAATGCATAATCTCAACATGAATCTATATTATTTCTTATTAGGGTTGCTCCTATTAATTGGAAAAATAAATGGAGACATTACTAAAGAAGATCCAGGAGTTCTTGATAAAGTACAGAAATTACCTGAATGTTCGAAGAAACAACCGCCCTCTGATGAATGTAGGAAAATAATTCTCAAACTCGTGCAACAAGATGGGCATACCAATGTTTGAAATTGCGTATTGCGGTTTCGAGGCGTTTTCTTTTTTATGGCGTATTGCGTAAGCCTCGAGGCGTATTGAGGCGTAAGCCTCAATTTTTAAATTGAAAAATATCCACAAAACAATTTAAAACTAAAGATAGAACATAATATATAACATAAAAAATCCAAAAACATTAAAAAAGTATATTGTCAAAGTAATACATCGCAAACACAACAAAGTCTAACATGGAATAAGACATAATATTGCTCAAAGTGATGAGCTTAAATTGAAGAATTGAAAAAAAGTTCATCGGTGTCTAACAACTTGAAATTAGGATCAAAAGATTAGCACAACAATTATCAAAAAAAGAATAAAAAAGAGATTAACAGCTAAAAAAATGCATCACTATCCAACTACTTGACAAAAAAACACCAATTATAAACTCCAACCGTAAAAAAGGAAAATTGAATGCTCGTGTACTTCATAAAATGATAACAAATAAAAGTAATTAGATAAATTTATCAAGATAATAAGTTAATAGTAGATCATAAATCCTCCGACTATCATCCATCCATTCTTATACCATTTTCCGGAAAGAAAAAAAATCGTACATGCTCTAGACACAGAAAACAAAGACGCACAAAAGATGAATCGCACCTGCTATTGCGATGGAGATGAATCGTAGCTTGGAAATCTCAGCAATTAGGGTTGCAATTAAGGTCATCGACAAGGTAATTTTAAAATATATACACTTAATCGGGATAATTGACAACTTTAACCTTTGATTTCCAAAATTTTACACGCTAAATTGTGTATGCCTCATTGTGCGCCCCAATGCGTACGCCCCATGGCGTAAGCCTTTAAGCAAATTGCGTAAAATGGCTAATTGCGTGAATCGGGATTCGCACCAGGGCGTTATTTTCTAGAAAAAGTTTCATTGCGCGCCTTGAGGCGGGTTTGGGTTCCGCCTTTTCAAACATTGGGGAATACGGTTACCGCCGCAGTGCCCTCTCCTTTATGTTGCTCGGAGCTTCGTGCATGGGGCTTACACTGCTACGCAAAGTGGGTAGGGTTTGACAATCTTATAGACTACGGTCTTTTTGGACCTTCGGACGAAGTTTATATATACTTTCAAAACATTTGGGATTCATGCAACCAGTGATAGTACGTCTTTAACTATGCGTGTACAATGCATACACATACACAGAAGCAATTGGAATACTATAATATCTTTCCTCAAAAGAAAAAAAGGAATTATATATAAGTTTCAGTTTATGCTTCTCATTAATAATTAAGAATGGTATTTACTCCGATCCTCAAAGCCTGTAGTAAAAGGTTCTATATTTGATTTGATATGGAGATAAGGAAAATAAAATCGAATGGTTAAAGGTGATACAGAAAAGAAAAATAATATTAACAACAAAAATGTTTCTAAAACAGGAAAATAGAAACTTGTTTTAGACAGAAAAAAGAAAATGTGGAACCTAATCTTAAGACGAAAGAAGTAATCGAATGTTTTTTACTTCGCAAGGTCGTAATTAAACTAGTAGTACCTTAAATTATTTCATATGTTCCAAAAATACAAACTTTCATTTTTTTCTCTCTTTAAAAACATTTCTACTTTAAATAAAAATTTCCTATTTAAAGGGAAGAAGCATTTCTTTTTCTTTTGTTGTACTTTAAAGAATTATTGGAGTGTAGCATCTCTGAGAAGGAAGAAATTCTCAAGGTGTATCCTTAGGTGGAAGGTAAATAAAAGACTTGGGTACTCATGTTCTTGCATTCTAATGTTTTTCTAATACAGCTAATTTGAAGATCGATTACTCAAACTCCATTGTTCGGAGACTAGAAGTAGGCATGAAAGTTTGGCCAAACCAGGACATACTGGTATGTTCTTACTCACTTTATGCTCTATTTTGAAAGGTGACTTTTTGCTGTTTCATTTCCCAGTCAAGTGATCTCTGACGTTGAAATTCGTGCATAAAAATTCCTAGAATCCAAAAATTCTAAGAATTGTCATATTTTATAAAGGTTAGTCATCAACTGTTCAACGCGAAGGTTGAAGATCCGGATCGAATTTGGAAAGAGATTCAAACATGCTAGGGGTGGTATGCATCAACATTTTGATAATTCAAACTGACACAAAATGCTAGTGCAATCAAAAAGTTTTGAACTAACATTTTGTACCTGTGTAAAGCATCACACTAGGACAAAATCAAAATGCATACCTTTAATGTATAATTTGAGGTACAATTTTTGTTGTACAAGTTGCTTAATTCAAAGAGATCTCACATCCATGTTCTTACCCATTTTGGTGGGAAGAGGAGAACAGTCTTCACTCAAATATCAACTTTATGAGAAGGAAAGAAAAAATCGCTAGAGGCCATGAATGGAAGGGGTAGAGAAGATAGGGATCCATGGTATGGGGATGAGTAGGTGTGTAGTGGAATAGTTGGGTAACAATGAAGGGCAAGTTAGTCATGTAAGACAATGTGGATGCCAACAGTTGAAAGCTTCTAAATAGGGAAGGAGTGAACACCTTTTACGAGACGAAAGTAGTGAAACTTTGTCTGGATTTTAGTTGCTCACCCTCTAAAAAATCTCATTATAAAAAATGATTTTAAAATATAAATGTCTTTTAAGTGATTTTGCCACTCATTTATGTGAACATTACTTATACCCTATCTTAACCGTATTTTAGAAAACCTTATCATTATGCTCTTATGGCATGTTTGGAAACATAAATTTGGATTTGAAATCTAAAATTAGTCCAAATATCATGTTTGGCAATTTAAAGAATTTAGATTTGAATTTGATCCAAATTCTTCTAATTATCCACTTACCCAAGCACAAATTCATAACCTCTCCCATGTCAATTGAATTAGTG